CGAGCGTCAATAGATTCGAAATACCATGTCCAGCTTTTACTTTCCAGGGGTATATATCTTCATGGTTTATGCGATATAATTGAAGGAAAATCTGTACAAGCAAATAATCCAAACCCACACGAGCTTCTTGTTCAAGAATCCAATGATCTTCTGACGGGTTTGAAAAATTTATTCAATGAAAGTGATGCTTCAGAGCAAGTTCGTCTCTTAACCATTGCGCCTAAGAAGTGGGGTCGCGAAAAAATTCGTAAATGGTAAGTAATATGGAAGTTAGCAGCTGAACATTTCATTTCGGTTTCGTTTCAGCAATGAGAGCTTTTATGTACTTTGTTTCTTAGGTTCGGATCAAGCGAACATCAAGCTCGTGAATCACTTGTGCTTCGGGAGAACGAAGGTGTTCTTGCTTTTCCTCAGTATTTCAAAGGCAACACACCAATTTCTAATGATACAATTACTAGTATAATAAACTTCTATCGCGAAGATGGTACTAGTCGTATTTCATCAAGCTCAAAAGATACCATTCAAATTAATCAAAATACAGTACCCATTCGTTATATGGAAATGAGTATCTTGGATGCCTTTCGTATATTTGATGAACGTTCTCCTGGTTTGGTCGGTCGTACAACATTTTACTCATCGCGCCCTCGAGATGTAAAGATTCTGTCACCGCATGATACATGTATGTGCATCATACATGAAAACATGAATCTCTTGATTAAGGTACGTTTTTATTTACTAAATTCAGAGTATTATTCAAAGACGTTTAACCTAATATAATTTTGATGTGCTAAGAAATTTGAGACCCTTATGGTTTGACATAGAAATGAAGGATTTACAACCTAGTTTTACTGTTTTCTGTGTATTAATATATGGAAACTAGAAATCACTTATGAAAAACAAACAAAAGAGAGCAAACAGAACAGACTCTAGACGGCCATAGTTATGATTTCTCTTAATGAAACTAATTGCATTTACTTAAAAAATAAAAGTTTGTAATTTAATAATTATTTTTAGTCATGGAATAACTATTGTCAACGCATACAGAAAAAGTCTTCTTCAATGGAATTAAAGTTATTCGATATAAAAGATCTTATCAATGAAATGGTTTGTAATGATGATAAAGAAGATTGTTTTATTGGTGAATGTCAGCAATGTTCAACCAAATCTCTTATTAATATTCTTACAAGAAACATCAACGTTGACCTTGATGAAAATTGTTCTTGGACTATTTGGCAAAAATTAAATAATAAATTTGATCTTCAACAAACGACGGGTTCTGTTGAAGCACTTTTAGCTCAAATAGAAGAACAATGGTTCCCATTTATTTTGCATACCTTCTGTAATCGAAGTCAACGTGAATATATTGCTGAACTTCGTAGGCAATCAACAAAAACAACTTTTGTTGTTGCTCAAATGGATTTTTCTATGAACTATACTCTCGTTCGTCAACGAGAAGTACAACAAGGTTTCTTCTCCCAACATCAAGCGTCTCTCTTTACAACACATTTAACAATTGGAAAAGAACACCGTGATATTGCAATAATCAGTGATTCCATGGAACATAATATGCCATTCGTTTACGGCGCTCAACGGATCATTACTGATTATGTAAAGAAAAATTTTCCTTCCATCAAAAAGATTATCTACGTCAGGTAAATAAAGTTGATGCAGGATTAAAAAGTAATATAATAATATTAAATTGAGAATTTGAATCCTGAGGAAAGCAAAATTGAGAACTTTTTATTACTTTTACTTATAGATGAATTTAATTAAGGTTAAACTAAACTAGGAATACATGATTATTTTATTCCAATGGCTTAATTAAAGATAAAATAGTATATATACTATGGTTCTTAGAAAATCTAAAAACATCATAAACTCTTGTGAAGCTCGATAAAGTTTTTGAAATTCGTTAGAGTCTTCGAAGTATTCAAGGTCTTTAAGAATATTATAAAGTCTTCTAGGATTTTAAAATTTTGAACTCCGCTGATTTTCTTTGAAATTTAACTCTGGACGTAGCACAAAGTAGTTTTTAATTTTCATTTAAGTGATGGATCTAGCTCCCAATTCAAGAATAATGCCAACATATTCAACTTGGTTTGTCATAAGAACGACTTCAATTTGGATGCTTCTTGGGTTTTTACAGCCACAGGACATGGCAAGAGTGCAGGAGATGGTATTGGTGCAGTTCTAAAATCAACTGCCAGACGTATCACCCTTTCAAAAAATATTCTTCTGTCAAGTTCCTATGATTTCTATGAATTTTCGAAAAAGCAACAATTGGAAATAGCTACAGCTGCTGGTAAACATCAATCTGCTATCGACGTATTTTTTCTTGAAGAGAAGGAAATACAACGAACTAAGGTTAAAGTTTTGAATGAAAGGCTGGAGCAAATGAAAAAAACAGGTACACCAAACTTCTTTATCTTAAGTGAAACTTACTGTTTCTTCTTGATAGGAACAATTCATGGTATTCGTGGTATGCACGATTTCGAGGTTTTGTCCGGCAATACAGTCTGTTGTCGTAGAACTTCTGTTTCTCGAGAATATGAAAAATTCTGTTTCCGATCGAATTTTTCTTGAATATTTGTGCTCATAGTTTTGTTGATGCTTATATAAAAACATAACAGATATAATCTAGCAGATCCAGTTAACTAAACTTCATACAAACATCTAATTTATCGATCCATCTTTCTAATTGTGGTAGATTAGTTTTACAAAGAAAGGATTCTCATAATCAAAACAAGCTAAGTAATATTGCAAATTTCTGAAGTTGATATTACTTACATCGGTCGAATTTTCCTTTCTTTCATTCTTAATGCAGTTTTCCTCCAGAAAAGCACTATTGAATGCTTTAACATTATTCAAAAGACGTTCAAATCAACTCATTAATGATATGGTCCGATATGCACGAGTCGAAACAATAGCTACGGTTATGTTCTTGATAGCTGCAAAATGTGATATATGAAAGTTATTTCGTATATATACATACGTTGAGGTGTTCCTAAAAAACGACCTGGATCGTCATACTTTCACAATGTAAAAAGATTTTAATTATTACCTCAGACCGTTTTCGACGACGTTACGTCTAACTAGCCTATCAAATTTGAAAAAAAATTTTTTTCCCGAAAGTGGTAGAAACCCGGCGGATTCACCCATATAAGTGTTTGTGTGAATTAGATTTTAGAATTCTGTTGTAGTCAGTTTATGTTAGTATGCTAGCATTGGTATCTGAAGTTTACCTTGTACTACTCGCGAAAGAATTCTATTTTAATTCTGCTTTTGTTTTGAAATTTTCTTCATTAGAATTTCATTTATCTTTTATTAAGCTATGGAAATCTGGAAGTTGTGTTTGTTTTTTTTTCAATTCTTAGTAGAAGTTTGTTAGCGAAGATGAAGAGTATCCATTAGTGTGTGTTAGCTTCTTCTGATCGTTTTTGTCTTTTGCTAATGAGAATGGAGTTCTGTCAAAATTCTAATTGGTTTTTTTTAATTATCAGCAGATATTTAGTGTACAATCGGATAATTTGAATGTAGAATATGTAAGTCAATTTTTGTTTCTACTGCTTCAAATAGAGTTCTGTTAAAATCTTGTTTTAGGTTTTGAATTCTTATCAGAGGTCTATTAATTGAGGAGATGATAGGCCAGTCTTGAGGATGTGAGTGTGGACGATATAGAGTTGGATGTGGAAACAAAAGAAGATAATACGAGCATCCACACATACCCCCACCCTACTTTAATGTGATTAGTAAAGACTAGATGAGTATCGACCACTTATTTCAACTAAAAGAATTTATTCTTTCCATTTGAGCAATGTATAACTTGTTACAAGTATCACACGAACAAACAATTAACTCAAATCTTATTGTATTGGTTGTTTGCTAATATCGCAATTGCATTATGATTATTCGGAAGTATTAAAAAAGAAAAGAAAAGAATTGTTTTCTTTAAAAAAATCTTTAAAAGTAAAAGATTTTATTAATAAAATCTATTCAGATAATTAAAATATTCATTGATGTTTTTATATTGATTAATCAAATAAATAATTCTTCAGTAGTTATCAAAAAATCATTGTCTATATGAAATTAAATCATATAGATAGAATTCAAATGAATTATCTTCTAAGTTTACATATATATTAACTTGAGAGAAAATAAAAATAAAGCAAAATTAAAGAGAAAAATTGTTTTTTTCATTTATTTCTCATTAAAAATTCAGTAATATTCTATTTGAACTTGAATAGAATTTAACTGACTAGGAAATAATCTAATTTATTTTATTAAAGTCTTTTGTCAGACTAACCTCGGTTTATTATTTATTTCGATTGGATTTTAATATTAAGAAGATTTATAAAAAAAAACAAGAGGACATATTCAACAACATGTTTATGTATTTTTCTCATTAAATAAGTGTAGATATAGCTAAATATTTATATAACTTTAACAAGAATATTGTTTTTTTTTTATTAGAATTGTCTTTATTTTCATAATTGATATGACAAAGAATCAAATTGAAAGATATTCATTGTTTAATATAGTCATATTTCAATTTATATATTTTGCCAACAAATTAAATGGATTTTTTAAAATATCTAACACAATGATATATTTATTTAGTATTAATTAGATACAGACTTCGATTGTGACACATATTTTGTTTTTCTTCTCCAAAACAAAATCAATAAGCTTAAGTAAATGAGATGTAAATGTCGGTACACGTATTGATATAGATAAACTCTCGACTTATATTCACATAGATTCACACCAACAACCAACTTTATTTATATCAAATGATTCTTCCTCCAGTCAGAAATGTGGCGAAAGAAAAAAAAACGTTGGATGATGCAATAGATAAAAATCAAGAAAATATGAGTTTTTTTTCTGTTAGTCAGTTTTTCTAACAATTATACTTCATATAATTTTATCTTAAGACATAGCAATATTTAAATCTTATAAAAACAAAACTTCTAAAGCAAATCTATTTAAAAATAGATTGACGTGTACCATTCCGTGAAAGCCACATCCCAGCTTCTAATCGATCGAGCGAGTAAATCTTAAAATGAAAATATTTTTGAGTTAGATCTAGAATCTTTCATAGACGTTTTCTTCCATATACAGATGAGTTTCAATACATGTTGATGAAATGTTTTTATATAGGTAATGTGACTCTAGATCATAATTTATATTTTATCTAAAAACATCATCTAATATTATTCATATTTTCTTCGAAAATAATATCTGTGAATACATTTTTTTGCTTTTAATGAGATATGTACAAAAATCAAAATAAATCATCTTTATTTATCACAATTTTTCATCGTAATTTTATGGTCTATTGCATATTCGTTCTGTTTGTTAAGCATAAATGTACACTAGTGTAAGATCATTTTTTAAGCATATTGGCAATCATATTTTTTTATCATAGATACATCGATTAAAAAAAATGGAAAGACATCGAATTATTCTTAAAGAAAAGTTAAACGATGAGATTTCTGAAGATGTTTTAAAAAGTCAAGAATTATCATCATTATTATCTGAGTCAACATTATATAGTGAACCAATTAATTTAGATAGTAAATTAGTTCAATTGTGTTTACAAATACCAAAACCAGAACTTGATGACGAAAGTGATAAAGATATTCATATTCTTTGGTTAAGAAGTGAAGAGAATAAATTGTCCAATAAATCTGAATCATTAAATGGATTAGAAATAAAGAAATATTATTCATTTGACGAATTAATTCGTTTTATCAAAACATTAGAAACAAAGAATGTATTTTTAATAATTGATCAATCATTAGTTTTAAATAATCTTTCATCTTTCGATGATTTGGCACAAATTATTTTCATATACATTTTAGAAAATGAAGAAATTAATGATTATATACCAATAACAAATAGTAAAAGATCAATTAGAAAAATTTCTAATAATAAAGAAGAACTTTTCTATGCAATTAATGAAGATATTTATATATCTACAAAAGATTTTTTATGTACGAGTATATTAGATATTTCAGTTGAAGAAGAATCAACAAATCAAACAAAAAATTTATCTTTTATATGGTATCATTTATTAATTAATAGTCTGTTTGATTTAACTGTTTATAATAAAACAGCTAAAAATGATTTAATAAAATATTCTCGTAAACAATATTCAGATAATATTGCTCAACAAAATAAAATTACAAAATTTGAAAATGAATATTTATCAACAGAGGCAATTCAATGGTATACACGTGATTCATTTGTTTTTCGTCTTTTCAATAAAGCATTACGAACTCGTGATATAATTAGTATTTTTAAATTTCGTTTTTTTATTATTGATTTACAAAAACAACTTGAACAACTTTATGATGAAGAAATAATGCAATATTTATCATTAGTTTACCGTGGTCAAAAAATATCATCATTAGAATTTAATAAATTAGAGAAAAGTATTGGTAAATATATATCCGTCAATACGTATTTTTCAGCATCAATGAGTGAAGATGTTGCTTTAATTTATGCGAGTGATCCACTATCTTCTGTTATACTTGAAATTGAAATGGAAAACGTGGTATATATGAAAAATAAACGAACTCGTCCTGTATATATAGGACATATTAGTGATCATCCTGATGAACTAGAAGCTATTTTTCCTATTGGTTCAACTTTTAAAATACATTCGATAAGAGAAAAAAATAATAAACGGTATCTTAAACTGATATTAGAAACTGATGATCATTATGAACAATTGTTTGATATTTTTCAAAAAAATTATATAAACAAACTTCCATCAACAATTAAATTTGCGGAATTACTTATATGGATGGGAGAATATGATAAAGCTCAAGAATATCTTCAAATTTTAATAAAAGATTTGAAATTATCCAGTGATAATATTAAAAAGGGATATGTTTATGATTATATGGGTCAAATTTCGTATATAAAAGGTGATTATAAATCTGCACTATCTCGGTACAATAAGGCATTAAACTTCATTTCAATAGATGAGATCTATTGTGCAAATATATATTGTAATATTGCAAATTTATATTATGCAAAAAATGAATATAATCAAGCTTTAGAATATTATAAAAAATCATTGAATTATAAACAAGATATGGATCCTTTAGATTTAGCTAGTTTATATGAAAGTTTTGGCAATGTTTATTCTCGAATCCATGAATTTGGTGATGCTGTTACTTTTTTAAATGAAGCATTGGATATACGTCACTCAAATCAATTAAGCCATCATGGCTATTTATCTACATACACAGCTTTAATGATACTCTATAGTGAAAAATCAGATTATAACAAAGCCCTACAATGTTTGAAAGAACTATTAAATATTCTGCTAAAAACAGTATCAAAAAATCATCCACAGTTTATCGCTGTATACACATTCATCGGACAAATGTATATCAGATGTAATGATTATGAATCAGCAATGATATATTGTCAAAAATCTAAAAATATGATTGACATTATTTTGATAAAAGAAATCTCATTAAATCCAATACAATATATACTTCTTTATACTACACTTGCCGAAATTTATGATTACAATGATGACATGGAAAATCTGTTTTACTTTGCTAATAAAGCAGTAAATATTTATAATAAATTTATCAATAGTATACCAAAAGCACATCCCATAATAGAAAATATACACAATATGTTGGCTATAGCTTATTATAAGAAAAATGATTTCAAATCTGCATTAGATATTTACCGTAAAACTTCGACTTTTTCTGATGAAGTCAATAGTAAATTGATGAGACTTGTAAATAGCGCCACAATTTATATTGGTCAAGATAATCCTAAAACGGCTCTGGAATATTTAGATCAATCGTTTGAACTTAGTTCAAAAATTAACCAATCAATTATTAACTATAAGATATTATCCTTAATGAATGATCAATATTCTCGTGCATATAAACTTAATAATAATCTTAAAAAAGCGATCTTTTATGCTGAAGAAGCATTACAATTATGTGAAGTACATAAAGATTCTCGTCAAATAGCATCTACTTTGTTATACTTATCGAATTTGTGTCCCGATAAAAAGAAAATTTATATGGAGAAAATTTTAGAAATTCTTCAACAAGACGATCTACCACTGATGGATACATATATTTATCATTATCTCTATGGATTGTACTGTAAGCATCAAATGAATTATTCTAACGCACTTCATCATCTTCAAATATCATTGAAATATCAATCAAAAATGATTCCACGGTGTCATCTAGAATCAATATTTACCATTTATAATATTGTCTCTATTCACAAAAAAAATGTCGGAGGATTTACAAAGAATGAATTATTATCTTATCTTGAGAAATGTGATCAAATATATGTTGAATTATTGAAATTTAAGGAAATACCATATAGAGATATGGTAATTATGTTTTGGGCTGAAAAATATTTTGTAGACAATATAAAACAATGTTCATTATTGATTTCAGTAATGTTTTTGATTTATTTTGAAATTGGAAAAATTTATATCGAAGCAAACAATAGAGAATTAGCATTGGATTATATTCAAAAAGCAGAACAAATATTAAATGATTATATAGGAAAAAAAGAAATTCGAAAGAAAGATTACATATACTATCTATTGGCATCATCATATCATTCAGTCGAAAATCCTGATAAAGCACTTTTGTATTATGAAAAAAGGGTTCAATCGTTGCCATTTGATTATAATCAATATGGTTTTTGTTATTATTTGATGTCTGAAATATACTATGATAAAAATGATTATTTTATGTCAATATCAAAATGTAAAATAGCATTAACATTTTTACATAATTCACCATCAATGAATTATATATTTATATATCTTGCTTATTGGTGCACATCTCTTGCCTATTCAAACATAAAAAATAATGCATATGCATTTATTTATGGTGAACAATCATTAAAATATTGTTTACTACAGAATCCAATTGATTATGATAAATTTATTTTAAATTATACTCATTGTACAAATTATCTATGGAAATCAAAACTGTGGAATGTTGAAAAACCATTAAATTATATTCTAGAAGCAGTAGAATTAACTCAATATTCTCTGACAGATGAAACATTGTTACGTCTTTATTATAGAGTTGGTTTATTCTATTTTATAAATGAGAAATATGAAGATGCTCTTGTCTCTTATAATAAATCCCTTGAATATTCAAAAATATCAGATCCTTTAATGATGAATTGTACTTATCGACAAATATGGATAGTTTACATAATGATGGGAGAATTTAATAAAGCATATGATATTGTAAAAAAAACAATTGATAGTATTGTCAATGTCGAAGGTATTAATCTATTCCTAATTTCACAATTATATATCGATATGGGTATTACTCATTATCGATTTGGAGAATATCAATTGGCTTTACAATGTTATCGTAAAGCTTTTCACTTTCTGGAAAACGATCAAAATAATAGGACACATGAACTATATAATCTCATTTATAATTACATTGGACTGTTGTATTTCGAATACGGACATATTGTAGATGCAATGAATTATTGCATAAAATCTCGAAATATTATTTATTCATGTAATGATGAATCTATTTCACCTATAAATACTTATATTAGCTTAGGTTTAGTTGAATGTAAACTTAAAAATTATTCTAATGCTTTGAATTATTTTGGACAGGCATGGGAATTTATTTACAATACACATATACAATATCATCCTGCACATAAAATATTGTATAATCATATTGGTTATGTCTATTTTAAACTTGGTCATATACATATAGCAATGAAAAACTATTTAAAAACATTATCAATGTATAGAATATATCCAAAACATCCTGATCTTGCACAAGTATATAAAAATATTGGTTTAATTTTTGAACAAGATGTCCATAATTATCCAATAGCCCTATCATTCTATAAACGTGCTTTAGAACTCATTCCAAATAATAAACATCCACATTATATCTTATATAAAAATATGATAAAAACGTTACAATTAAAAATGAAAAAAAAAACTGATGATAAGAAAAAAAAATAATAATTTTAATCGATTAAAAGATATTTTCTTAACTATGTATTTCAATTTATTTGATATCAAATTTATTTTTATTATTATTTTTATTATTTATCTTAGTTTGATCTATTATTATTATGATTTGGAAGATGATCAAACATATTTTTAATTATGAAAAACGACAAAAAAGAAAACAATTTTAGATATTTCCTGCTTAGACTTTAATAGATTTTTACTATTGAAAGATTATTATATTTCAATAATTTTTCATAAAAAGTATTAATTTCAGAATTATGAATGTAAATATCGATATATCTATTAAAGCTGTGGATTCATACATTTTTGCTCGTTTTCCTTTTAATTTTTAGATCTCTTTAAATAAATAAAAAAGGAATAAAAGACAATAAAATTTCATTTTATTGAAAACGTTTGTTTGGTTTTTCATATGATTACATTAGTACAAATTCAATTAAAATATTAAACAAAAGAAAATGAATGATTTTATCTTGTCATTTAATTTGTTCTTCTTTTAATAAAGATCAATATGATAAATATTGAACTATTCGAATCTTTGGTGATTTAAACATGTTCAATAAAAAAAATCATATTTTCGAGAGAAATGAGAACTATCTTTATTATATATATACTTGTCAATGATAATTTGGAAAAGATACTAAAATAAATTTCTCTTCAATCAGATTGTTTCTATTTATTATAGTTCAATCTAATAATCATTATCGATATTGTTTTTTTTGTGGAACTCATGTATATTTTCGAAGAAAATAGTCAGTGTAAGTTTAGTTTCCAGTTCGAGGTTCGCGCCCCCTTCCCCATTACAGGCCTTGGCAACTTCGTGAAAAAAAAATTTCTTTTCGAAACTTAGAGGTAGAAATATAGCATGTTCTAATCGTTGATTATCTTTAGAAAAAAATTCTTGTATTTTGGAGATTTTATATATTGGGTATTTTGTCATTAGTATAATGAAACCAAAGGAAATATCTGACTTCCACATTCCAGCCGCAAAGGGGCTACGCTGACAAGCTTTTTTCTTAGATCTTAATTCAATTGAGAGATCATTTTTAATTATGATCTTTGTTCTTAACATTAATCTATATATTAACTATTTTAATAGACAAATAAAACAAATCCTTTTTATTTGTATTATGGTCAATTGTATCATCAAAGTAATAAGAATATTTTCGTCTTTTTTTTATTGGATTTGAATTAAAATATTTAAACAAATTTTTGTACTCTCGAACAAAATCAGCTTTGGGCCTATTCCATGGAGCTTCTACCACAAAAAATACAAGTGTCTTCAAAGTGATCGAAACATATCCTATCTTGTAGAGTTCGACGAGTTGTATCTATGGTAAAAATTTCAGCTTAAAAAACCGTTCCTGTAGGGAGATATAAGGTATACAAGTTTAGCTGGAAATTAGCATAATTCATGAAAAATGAAAATTTACTAAACTTCGTGGTCTTCACTTCTTCACTATTGTATGAACCAAAATGGATTCCAATTATATATTCTTGTTCCCCGTGACCTGGCGCATCTGCGCCTATATCGCTTTTTAATTTTTATTAACCTAGTAAAAAATTTTCTGGACCATGCTAGCAACAGCAACACTATAAACTTCGTCCCTTGGAAGTTTCTTAAGATGAATTCCATGGTTTAATGACTTGATGAGTTTTGTAGAGCAGACTCTGCTCTATCAAGCCCTATGTTTGAAATTTTATTCCAACTCGAAACGGCCGATATACAGACATCGACTTTTCTTTAAATCAATTAGCCTTGGACTATTATCAGATCAATCTTTTTTAACAAGGAAAGAAATGATCGTTTGATATGAAACTTTCAGCATTTGTAGA